GGTTAGGGAAAAAAGGCTCTTTCATGAAAGCAAACAGGAAGACTTACTTGGAAACTAACTAAATAGCAGGCAAGCCTATAGGAAATCTGTGTCATAGTGAGGGGTTTTCTGTCATCTTCCTAGCACAAGAATAAATGTGTGAACTTTGTGCAAACTTTTGGTCTTGGCGTCGTTGAGAAAAGTTGCAAAAATTGTAGTTTCAAAAGTCGAAGCACTGCTGATCACATACTGGTGTTGCTCCTGGTTTCTTTTGAATGTTCATCCAGAAGTCAGCTGCTTCTCTGATGTGGCAGGCACCAAAGCACCTTGTAAGTGCTTATATAGCTATCTTTACCACCCTAGCATTTTGAAGACACATTTCTGTGGTCTTCAGAGTGACTGTTCAAATCAGCAAATGTTTCAAAACATGCCTATGGTTTAGCTAGTCTAACCTACAATGTCTTGTAGTTGTTCTGGATTTTAACAGCTTGTTAAACTTGAGAAAATACGGAGCATAAATTATCCAATGACTATTCCTGGGTATTGTCAGTATGATAGAATTTCTGATATTCTATTAAAAACAAAGCAAACTAAAAAGAAGAGGGATCAGATCACCCTGGCATGGCGTATCTAAATGCTTTTGCCACTTCAGAGAATGACATTTTATGGTTGGAAGGAGAGGAGTAACAGAACAGAAAATAATGCACAACCCACAGGTGGTGTTTGGGATTTTTTTGTGAAGTGAGCCAGTATACAGGAAACAGTGATCCAGAGTAGTTGTATTGTAACTAAAAAATACATTTGTTTATTGTTTATAATATCTACCAAACACAAAAAGGACAAAGAGCAGCAGTTTTATTCTTTGCACTTTGGTATCCTAGAAGAAGAAAGCAAATGTAGACTGCGAGTTTATGAGTGAGTGTAGGCTTCCTGAAGATGAATTTTCAATATATCCCAATCCTTCAGGGGGCCTACCCATCAAGAGGCTAATAAAGCATCTGGGAACAGCATGTACACTCCTGAAGGGATGTGCAAGGCTTTTAAACAATGAGGGGATGCAGCCATTCCAGAAGTATCAATGAACAAGAAGGCAGAGAGGTATATTAGCTATATGAGAGGAATGCATAGGAAAAATCCCAACACTCTAGGCCAATTTCAGGAGCATGTCAAAGCACAGAGAATAGCTCCTGCATATGAAAAGATACTTTGTGGAAACTGTTGACTGCAATAATCACATTTTAAACTCTATGTTTGTATCAGCATAGAGTGTGGGATGGTGGGATCAAAGCAGTATCTAATGGCATCATCAGATTCAAATCCGCTAAGGTAGTTCTGCAGGAGGAAGGAAGATTCAGGTTTGCAACTGTCTTCTCATGTAATTTTTTTGGTTGTTGTTTTTTCTGTTTGTTGGTTAGTAATTTACTTCAAAGAATCCTAAGTATAAGCATTTCCTAGGCTTACAGGAATTACAATACACTGAAGTACTATTTGAGGAGAACATGCCATACTGTGTTTGCAGCCCTTTGAGGTAGGGACTATGCACTCCTCATCCAACTCAAACAGACCTGCAGTTTATTTTTTATGATTGTTTGCAGTGGTTATAAAATTTGGGCTTTCTATTTGCCTTACTGTATAATACCACAAAACAGTTTTGTACACAAGAGTTTATATTTACCCATCTTATGGGACTATAAAGCAACAATATAAAACCAAGCAGCTACAGTATTTATTACACTCTCCAGGTCAGTTGAAGTCAGTCAGCCATAACTGGTTATCTTTATGAAGAGCCACCCCAAGTGCATGGGTTTTCATCATATTGTGATGGCTCATGATGCAATTACCTGTGTTGGGCAAAGTTAAGACTGTAGGAAATGTCAGTGGAGAAGCAGAAGAGCATGCAGAAGTTCTAAATAAAGTGTTGAAAAGCATAACAAACTGGATGGATTTTTTTACAGTCACTGTTTCGCTTCTTTCTCTTTCATAATAAAGACCATTATCCAGACAAATAAATAAACTCCAAAAATGCCTATAATTAAGCACCATAATTGAAAGAATAATGATGGAGAATCTCTCTCTCCTGCTCTACTAACTGGCCATGCCAATATGTGACTAATAATGCCATTTGATCTAACATTATTAAAATAGACAAGATAATATGCTTAGTTTTGTTGTCTTCTACAGCTGTTCATTACCATTATATGATATAGTAAGAAGTTTTAAAAGTGTGTATATATAATCCTCCACCCAGAATCTTCTAATAAACAAACGAGCTTTCGTATAAAAGTTTTTTGCAATGAAATAGTCATTGACTGGAAAAAAACCGAGCTAACTAAAACATTTTTAAATTGGCATCCTCAAAACTTGTCAATTCTATTTAATAAACTGATGTTGCCCTCTAGTGTTCAAATACAGCTTGTAAATGCCCCTCCAGAATGATCTTTTCTCAAGCATAGAAAAGGATTTTCAATGTGAGAATACTTAAAGTCGCTCGTTTCACTCTAAAGTTGTGAAAGAGCACTCAGCTTGGCATCTTGGTTCTCCTGCCCTTACCTGCTTTGCTTCTGCCGTTCACCGTGCTTGATATACGCTGCTGTTTGAGTCGCAGGGCACTGCTTCCAATGATATTAGCCAAATACGTGCCCAGTGCTCTGACAGACCCTGAGATATATCTGCTTGCCTTCCCTTGAATGTATCTCTACTGTACTGTACCATATCAATTAATACCAACCATCTCTCCCTCCAACAAATTAGTTATTACAGCAGAAACGGACAGAGTGGATTCAGGGATTATTCTCAGCACCACTCCTGCAACAAGCTGCCAGGATGACATCAGCTACATAGGCTTCTCATGAAGTTGTAGCTCTTTTGAGAGCAAATCGTGGTCAACCTCAGATCTGCCCCTGCATTTTATAGATAGGCCTAGTACTTATCATTTTATTAACTCATTTTCCAGAAATGTTGTTCTGCTTGGTCATGTTCCTTGACCAGAAACCTTTGAAAGTAACTATTAAAAAAAACCCCCAAAACTGAAAGAAACTGAGGCTAAACAAAGTGCAGTCAGCAGAGAAGGTGATGAACGTGAGAGACTTTTCATTTGTAATTTTGTTCACTTTTAAGATGTTATCCTCAATGTTTTTCATTTGAGTATTGTCAGACTTGAGCAATGTAGAAGACCAGCTGGTTTTGTATTTATAAAGAAATTGGCAGCCCCCTTTTAGTAAGAATTCAAGTTACTGAGATAAGGAACACTGATTTTTATTTGATCTTTGAATAAGGAAATTTTCAGAGAATTTTCTGCAGAAAGTTATTGTTACAAGGTCTCAAAAAGCTTGCCTTGAGGCCATTTTTGGATCACACCTGCTTCCCACTGCACCAAGCTTGACAGATCTAAGAACATCTTCGACATGAGTCATGTTCCATATTTTGTAATAGAATTACTTCCTTGTATTCATGAGGCACCCTTCCTTCTCTGTCATGATGTTTGTTGTTGATTATGCTGCCTGCCACACAGGTACTTTGAAATCTGGTCTTTCATTCTAAAAACAGGTTTCGACTGGATGTATGTGAAGGCAAATGTGAATAATACAAATGCTCACACATACTCTCATTCATCTCTTGTGGCAGAGGTGGGGAAACACAGAGCATCTATGCTTATTACTAGCCCCTGGAAGATGACCCTAGAAGTGAAGAAGGTGTGCTTTGAGAGCCAGTAAGAGCTCCATGTGTTCAGGTAGGACAGCAAGTCCAGCACTTTGCAAGGAGCTCTTTTGAGAGCCATCAGCCCTGTGAGGGAAATAGCAGAACACCAGAAGCATGAAGATAGCGCAGCCTTGTTCATCTGCTCCTGCTGTCTGTAGAAAACATCTTTGAGGTTGGCACCATCCTACAGCATCACCACTATTTTCCTTTAAGACTTTTCCATCTCCCTTTAGATGTTCAGCAAATGGAGACCACACCTTTCTGTGTGTCTTCTGCCAATAAAGGTGTGTGTCTTCTGCCAATAACACACCTGTTTTCTTTGCTAAGGGGACAGTTTAGCTCAGTCAGTTAGAGCATGGTGCTGATAACACCAAGGTCACGTGTTCGATCCCCGTTTGGTCTCCATGTGTTACTTGATCTAGTTGAGAGGTGTCCCTGCCCATGACAGGGAGGTTGGATTAAATGATCTCTAAGGTCCCTTCCAGCCTAGGCCATTCTGTGAAGCCCCCTCCCAAGTTTCTGCCTGCTCTGCGACCAGGTGTTGCATCTCAGGTGTCAAGGACTTAGGTGTATGAGAACAGATTCTCTCTCACATATCTGCCAAGTCACTTGGTAGTGCCGTTTGTCACAAAAGGGTGTGATTGCAGCTTGCTTTACTTTGATATGATAAAAACTCTGTCTCTGTGACACACGTTGCAAACAAAGAATGTGCTACAAGGAAAAGTCAAACTCCAATTTACAGCACGTGGTTTTAACGACAGTTTGCAACGCATGCAGAAAAAAGCATTAAAGACACACATATATATACACACTAAGGAAAATTAAGCCATGTTATGTGTACTACAATTTTTACTGTCGGTAACTGAAACCATCTGAACATAAAGCTCTACTACTATGTACTTCTTTAAGGCTACAAATGGATTGCGAGACAATCAAATAACACTATGGCATTTGGTGCAAATAGCACTGAAGACGCTCACACACTGTACAGGTATTCAATTTATTAGGTGTACTTCTTTCTATTAATCTTGTCACAGTGCAGGTTAAGCTCTTGAAATGCTTTTTCTCTTTAAGTATAAGACCTTTTTAGCTTAACTTAGATTTGAGTGTTTATTTTCAGGATTTGGTAGTAAATCAAAAATTATAGACATTATAGTTCAGCATAGAAAGAGCAGTTCTCTTCCCCACCAAAGCCATCTGCCGCTTTCCCATTAGCGGCCAAAAATCCATCCTCTTCTTAGATTTCAGCATCTACTGTTCCGTTTCAGAATTGTCCTCTCAAAGATGAGAGATGCTCCTCGCAATCTTATTTCCTCTCCTCATCATACATCAGAATACATTCCGTTGATCAAGTAATCCAGCCTAGTATAATGTCTCTTCTGAAGAGATTCCTGTACTTTTTTCCACATCAGTGCAATAACTAGCAATAAGAATATCACCCCAAAAAGCAAAGCTGCTACAAGACTGCTTTTTTCTCCCAGCTGAACAACATCTTTCCCTCTCAGGAAACTCTTTGGCAGGTAGCTTTGGGCATCAGATAGGTTGTATCCCTGAGGGTCATTTTGGGACGCTCTTGGGGAATCAATAGTAGACAGAGTGAAACCTGATAAAGAAAGGAGGGTAACACGGCTGGTATAGTTGGAAAAGACAACCGTTGGCTCAGGAGAGATGGACAGAGTTCTCATCCCTGACAGGGCAGAATTCACGGTCATCTGCTTGGCTGTGGAAGTAGAAGCAGAAGCTTTGGGACTGGAAAGAGGAACACGAGTAACTGCAATGCTGGCGGCAGGGACACCAGGTTTAGCTCTAGTGGTTGCAGCAGGAGGAAAGGTAGCTGTGGTGGTGGTGGTGACAGTAGCAGGTTTAGCACCACTAGGATGCAGAGAGGTTGTATGAGATTCCAGTTGGGTGGTACTTGTAGGCAGAGGAATCAGAGTAGTACTGCCGGGTTCAGGAACACTAGACTGAATGGTAGAGAAAAAAGCAGAGGGGTTTGCAATTTGGACAGCAGGAGATCTATTCGGTGGCAGGTTAATTACTTTCTGCCTTGAGATGGGCTCTAAGCTCTCTGGATGTTTTGCCTGTTGAGATTCAGGAAAAACTGTATGAAATTCAGCATTGTCTAAATGCTCCATGTGGCTCTGGAGTTCAGAGGCCTCATGAAAATTAGACTGCAAAGCAGTGGTACGATTCTGATGGCTGGTCTGGCTGTGAGAAATAAAGGCTCCAGCATCCGAAGACAAAGAATACTCATTTGAAGAAAAGTCCTCACTATTGAAGGATGTATCCTCTGGAGCATGAGTGTCTGGAAACAGAAAGGAAATACCAGTAGTTAATTATCAAATCTATTTTTGACTACCACAGGTTTACTCTATTTTTATTTGTACCACTGAGTTATAAGGGGGCTCCAGAAAGTAATGACTAAGGAAACTGAGGCATCATTACTTTTCTTTCTTTAAAATACACACAATGACTTTTGAATTCTGTCTGTCTCATAAGACTTGCCACCCTCAAGCCTGGGCACATCAGACCCTGACTGCAGCTTCTTAGAGATTTTACCTGTGCAGAGCAATCATCCCAAGCTGGTTGTTTTATACTCATATTGCATGTACATAAGCACTTACTTAGAGCTGAAAAACAGAGTGAGGCCCACTGCCTTCAAACTATTCTCAGCCTCCATTAGTTAACAGATATCACCAACCTCACTTTTACTTTTCAGATGTACACATTTCCACCTAGCCAAGATGATGATATACTCTCCTTTTTTGTAATATCCAAGCACCCTGTACTTGCTTGGCACAATTCAATTCACATACCAAAATTGCCTTATGATACAAGGTGGCAGTAACACTTTATACACATACTGATTTGTAGGAAAGACCTGAGCTCCTACTGCCATGCTAGAAGAAAGACACTGCTCCAAAAGTCTCCAAGGTATTTGCAGTGAAGACCTCTGGAAGAAACAGACTACACTTTATAATGTCTCCAGAAGTCAGTATGTATTCCTCGCAAAACAGATAGGTGGATTTGAAAGCAGGATAACAGTGTTATGTGACAGAAATTCCAGACAAATGATAATTCTAGCAGCTACCTGATTCTACACAGGTATTACAGAGAGACTCCAGGTGAGCAGGAGCTCTTGGAAAGACTACCTAATTGTTATCGTTGAGATTTTTACATATGAATAAATAAATAATCCTATTTATAATCATTACATATATTATCATTCAGCTGCCACACTGAACACTTAATAGGGTGCATGCTCTCAGACAGTTCTCTCACTTATCAATTTAATAGAAAAAAAAAGACTTGTTAATTGCACTGGAATTGAAATAAATAACAAAAAAGCCTGTGATTATTTTCACTGTCACTTCTCTACTAGGAACTCTTATCTAGAGGGATAGATTTATTTCAGTTTTATTATATGTACAAAGAAGCCTAACTGGCTGCTAGCTTAATGTATCTTTTCAAGCCTTAAGTGCAAAAAAAAAAACCAAACCAATCCCCAAACCAACAAACCAAAAAACTGACAATGCTTTAACAAGAGCACAATAACAACTACTTCACTTGAACCACAGGCACTAATTTTCATTCTAATCTGTCAGGCTTGTTAGAAAGGTAAGATCCTAAACACAGATAATAGACCCCACCCACAAGGTCTGACTTAAGAGGAAAGGCACACTCTGTTTTTAGAGAGTGGCCTTAAGTGACAAAATGCTCAGTTATTACATAACCAGAAGCTGTATGGCCAAAGACACCCAAACCCTCAGCTGCTTCTGCAGCTCTGGACACCTTTGCACACCAGCGAGGAAGTGGTCTGTCACCACCATGGCATCAATCCCCAACTCACTTTTAACTTGTTCCCAGTGCACTCCTATGGACGCTCCCTCCTGTGCATTTAACCAGAGGGTGGATGTGGTGTGACAGCTATAAAGCACTCGCAGTGCGCTATGTCATTTCCAGTTCACCCGCCTGGGCAACAGCTAGAAAAGTGCAGAGCAGGCACACAGCGTTCCAACGGTGAGTGGAGGGAGTACAGAGACGCTAGGTGATGAGTCCCACCCAGGGGTATCACTTGGACTGACTAACCTAACTGCCTGCATTAACTAACTCTACTCCACATCATCAGCATCAAACATTGATTTTATAGGATTTCTTGTCTACTGTTTTAGACTACAAGCTCCCAAATGCAATTGCCCCAAACTGTCACGTGCGAGGCACTGTCACAGCTGCGGTACTAGGATAAATACACTTGTTGGTAAGAAAGAACAAGGGCACTACACAAGTCAAACTGTGATAATAGATTAAAAAAAAATACAAAGTGGTCCTGTTGATATCTCAAATCAAATAAGCTGCATTAGAATGCAAATTTCAGGTCATCAAAGTTAAAAAACAAACTAAACACCTCCTGAATATACTTTGATAGAACCCACCAGTCTTGGCTGGGTATCTTAGTGGGGTGGAAAAGACAAGCGCAACAAAAGCACTAGAACAACAGAAATCAGAAATGTAATTTCTTTTTTAGCAATAGGTCTTTGCAGCTGAGACCAGGATATGTTTTGCTTCCCAAGCCATAGGTTGTTCCCATTAGTCAGTAGCCAGAAGAATAGTTAAAAAAAAAAAAAAAAGCCAAATACAGTTTCATTATTAACATAGCATCAGTATTTTAAGTTGCTTAACTACTATAAAGGATCTTTCCCCCTTTTAGTCTGATGTTCAGTGTAATCACATGCAGATTCTTATATAAAAAAACTAAGCTTGAAATGTTTGCCAGTACCAAGACTACTCAGGTGCTACCTTTGAAACCTTATTAGGAACACAAGGTAAATAAGACAGCACAATCTTTCCATAATTCAGTGTTCACAGAACTTAAAGCAAAATGAAAAAGAGATGGTATATGTAATCAAGTTGTTAATTGAGCATTACACTACGTGCAGGATGAAAGCACAAGCACAATTACACTTCTCGCTTCTTTGTTTGAAACCCCTTCTCAAGGGAGAAGGAGCTGGAGAAAAGAATAGTTCTAACAATTTTACAGGGATGCAATTCATTTGTTGTGCATCACTTTTGCCCAATTCCTGTGTGATTGTGCTTGCACAAAAATATTTGGTAACATTATGTGAATAATCTTTCTACATATCCTGCTCTTGCTTCTTGCATAGTTTCACCTGGAAAAGTTCCCTTTTTCAGCAAAAGTCCAGTCTCTGGAAATACAAAACTTCTGCTCTCTCAAAGAGCCACACTGAAACCACCTTGTGAACTCTTGGCAGGAGGAGAGTCTAACTATCAGTTTCTCATCTGAGCTGTTCAGACAGGCCTGGTGCAAATTAATGTCAGTCAATAAGTAAGACTTACTATTAAAAACCCCACAGCATGTGACAGATGAAGAGAAATTTCTGAGCGTGTAGCCCACATGCCATAAAGCTTTGAGTTTAGTCATTTTTCATCTGTGCTTCAGGTTCCTTAACTGAAAGCAGAATATAATGATTACTACGGCTAATTACTCAGTAACATCACACTGGTGCTTCAAGGCTTGCCCAACATCTGCTCCATGTTTCTACCTGTCTGTATATGTTATTCAACAGTGCAGCAAGGATCCTTTTAATATGCAGGCAGCTACAAGGGCATCGTAATTCCATTGCTTCCAGTGATACTCTTCAACATTATGTGCAGGAAATTTTCCTTGTTGAATACATCAAGATGGAAGCACCTTCTTTTTGTTTTAAGCAAGGGAAAACAATGAGGAATTCTCAATCTCATGTGAAGGAATTTCATAAGGGACAAGATGTTATTCCAACCAGGAAGCTGGGACCATACAAGAACTCAACACACACCTGCCCATCCACCTTCCATGAGGCAAAATATCAGTATTTTCAAATTACAGTCCTTGGCTTAGAACATTTTACTGAAAACACAACTCCCAAACATTTTCCGGTCACTCTTGAAAACTCACAGGCACAAAAGTGATCTTGTGTGAGGACTGGTGGCTCTTACTATTATTTACCTCTAGTTATCTTGTAGCTTACAAGTCCTGTTGCAGGTTTCATCGGACAAGCCTCTGTGCTAGGGCAGTAAAACAGGTAGCAGTTGGGATGTGTGCTTGTCCTTCGAGCATCAAAAATCACCAAATTACATTTTTTGTCTCCTGTAAAACATGATAAATACATGTTTTGGCAATAAGAACTTTTATAGCATCTTGATAATGAGCTCTAGTTTCTTAAATTCATTTTTACTCACGTGAGTAAGAGGAAAAATACTAACACATAGCATTCCTACAGGAAAAACTGCCCAGGACTGTGAAAGAATGGCCCAGGGCCAATGCATGAAAGGTCACACCTTCCTCTTCCTGTACAGATGAACTTGGGGAAATGGAGAGTCTAATCCTTCATCCTCCCCTCAACCATGCCACACTGGCAGCACTTCATATAGCAATTTCTTGCTTACAAAAAATCTGAAAACCTCCTTGATGGGGAAGAAAATTATATGCTTTTCCCATCACACCCCGGAAATCTCTTGGCTTGTTGCTTCTCAGCAGGTTACTTTTACCATTGTCATTCTTACTTGCTGCTCTACCTCCTACTATTCCAAGAGCTTGATGCAAATCAGTTATCTCAGAGAATCACAGCATGTTTTGGGCTGGAAGGGACCTTTAAAGGTCATCTAGTCCAACCTCCCTGCAGTGAGCAGGGACATCTTCAACCAGATCAGGTTGCTCAGAGCCCTGACCAACCTGTCTCCAGAAGCCCTCTCACTTTTAGCTAATATTAAACATAGCACAAAATGTGAGCTACTTCATAGTACATCTATCAAATACAGCATACACATCTTAAAGTTTGGGGATCTGAGAGGTTTTAAGATTTTAAACTATCACTGCTTCTTTGCTGCAACTATTTTCCTGAACACTACAGGGTGTTAAGACCTAACATCACGCTTGGCGAAACACAATAGCAGCCGCAAGCCCTTAACTAGTCGTGATAAATTAATGATAAATTAACGTTTCTGTGCAGAACACGGAGAATACCACGGATACACTTGAACACCATGCGAGCCCCCACTTCAGCAGCAATTTCCCAAGCGTTCCTCCGTACTTACAGAAAAGACCGAAGAGGAGCCGCTTACCTGAGAGTTTTTCTGCCGAGCAGCAGGCGCGAATGCAAGCCTCTGCGGTGGAGGCGTACCTGGGCTCTGCACCCCTGATGCCTTTGGGCAGAGATAAGTTTATATCGATGATGGCATTTTCCATCTTCTCCGCGGAGCACTCTTGAGTCAGGCAGGGTCCGGCCATCACGCAGGTGATCAGCAGCAAGCAAACCG